TCCCTCCTCTCTCCCTCCTCCCTCCCTCCTCCCTCCCTTCTCTCAACGTCTCTCTCTCTATCTAACTCTCTCTCTCTCACTCTCTCTCGCTCTCTCTCTCTCTCTCTCTCTCTCTCTCTCTCTCTCACACACACTCTCTCTCTCTTTATTTCTCTTCGCCGCACTCTCAAGAACGTTTCAACGGAATAATTATCTTGTCTTCCCCTGCTTTTCCCCAAGGTGAGCGGACGTTCAGTGAACAATCGAGCTTTTGTATTCGCCAAACGACCTTCCGACAACAGAAGGGGTTAACAATCTATCTTTTCTTTTCATGAAGCAAAATCTAAGCTTAAGCTTTCTTTTTTTCTCTCCACCTTCTCACAGAGAATGGCATCGAGACACAAGTCGACAATGTTGAGCAGATCAAAAGCACACTTGAACTGATTAAAGAAGCTTGATTAGATTCTAGGAGCCTCGCACAGATTGAACTTCAAGATCTGTTTGTTCAGCTTCTGAGCGTTAATTTTCTCGAATGTTGGTGTTAATGTGAGCCTTACAACTGGCTAGATCAAAATCTAGATGTATGTTTGAGTGTGTGTGTTAGGGTGTGTATAAGTGTGTGTGTGTGTGTGTGTGTGTGTGTGTGTGTGTGTGTGTGTGTGTGTGTGTGTGCGTGTGTGTGTATACTGTATAAGAGACAAATCTAAACAGACAGATGGAAGGCTGGATAGATGGATGGACTGATGGATGGATGGATGGATGGATGGATGGATGGATGGATGGATGGATGGATGGCTGAAGGGATGGATGGGTGGACAGATGGATGGATGGATGGATGGATGGATGGATGGATGGATGGATGGATGGATGGATAGATAGATAGATAGATAGATAGATAGATAGATAGATAACTTTGTGAGCTTCAATCAAAGGAAAAGGGACGATAACCTGTTCACTTTCGTCTGACCACTGTTAAAAATATTTAAATCCAGACCTTTGCATTCGGCTCTAAAAGTTGGATGACCAACAGAATCTTAAAGCCCATTCATAATGGCCACTACAAACTATGGTTACAACGAGTTTCCTTTGATGTTAGCTTTAGGTTGGTTAAAAAATAATAGTGGATTTACAGCATACACCTAAAACATTAAAAAGTTTACCTCTTTTCCTCAAAACCACTCTTTAACTTTAACGTGCGCCTTGGAAACACTCTATAACAGACGTGGGTGAGTTCATTTCGAGGCTTTACTTGAGATATCTAAACAGCTGCGGTATGAAAATTTAATATCATTTACAAGCTTGCCCACAAATCAGGATGGTATTGTTGTCTCAATACTAGCTTTTTGTAGGCTACGTTACCGTAAATTATTCATTTTTACTGATCCTGAGTATGGAACCGATGAGCAGCTTTTAATAAAGGGCCCAAATTAAATAGAAACTCTTTTTTTTCATAACTAAATTAACTTTAAAACATATATTTTTGTTTGGTCTCTGGTCTGCAGAACTGCCATTTAAAGTTTTGTGGGCATACGTAAATTAATAAATGAGCTAGAATTTTTTCTAATGCAGACAGACGAAGGTAATCAAGTTATAATCAAATTACTACGTCGTTGATATGGCAAACCAGAAAAAATCATAAGAATACACTGTGAAAGAAGGCAAGTAACTACTCCGCATACCTTTTACAATGAGGTAGGCCAAGGAGGTATGTGTTTCCTGAATACTTGTTGTGCGGCTTTTACTTAATATACTTATGTTGTTATGGTTTCCCAGTATTGCTTGTCAACCACGCTAGATATATATTATGTATTAATTAACTGAAATCTCACGCTCGCTAAAGAGACTTCAGTCATTCGCATCATAGTAAAGAGTGTGTGTTTGCCTTTCATAGTAAAATTAATCAAACTTTTTGGCCGCTGTTTGTGGATGCTTCTACATTGTAGAGTGCACTTTCAAGCAAAACTAAGCTCAATAAAGCAGTCTGTATTGTTGTTACTAGGCATAATTGTAGTCGACATGAATGCTAAACACTTAGTACCCACTCAGAAAATTAAATAGAGAGGAACCGGGTCATTCAGAAATAAAACTGAACAAGTAGTTGGACCATTGCCGTATTCAAACCTATAAGAGGCAGATCAAGTACCCGAGGTAATGTCTCTCTCCAGCAGTACAACATACACCTCATATCATAACAATGGAAAGACAGATTATCACATAAGCTATAAGGCAGAGGCAGCTGCATGGAAATAAACTTACAACTTACTTAGATATCGCAAAGCCATTGAAATAGTTTTTAAAGGAACATGTCGTAATATCTTTTTTAACTATTAATAAGCAATGGGACTCCACTTTCTCATGACCAAGCATGCAATCTAGTTAAATACTCCCCTAGACTTTATAAAACACAACGATTGTGTGAATATATAGCTGAGAATTTAGCTTTGAGTGATATTCCATGTTATTTTGTGATTTCGTTTTGTCAGCAAAATGATTAATCTCTGAATAAAATAAAGAAATCCACGAGAAAACATGAAGATCTAGAGTGACTTGGCACGAACATGTACATGGCCAGTGCAAACAGGAGTCTATCGGAATGTAATTTCCAACTCCTTGGACATTAACTATCAGGCTGTTTGCAGGCTTCTGTTTCGACTGCCTACTGTGAGAACTATTAATATCATTTTCTCAGAAAACCGTTAGTGTGTGCGAGTCCGAAGTCATACAAATAACATCCAATAGGCTTGGTCTAAATAAAAGTTTCATGGTGAGCCCTATGGATCAACACCTTGAGAAGATATGCAGGGCATGAATAAATGGGGGGGGGGGGGGGGGGGGTTGTTGACAAGAAGACTTCTTAAACTAATTGCCTTGTAAAATATGGGAAGAAATACAAAATTACTGAGTCAATGATGTGAGGAACACAACTACTAACCATCTCGTCTAAACCCTTCTACCATCCAAAAAGGTATGTGCAAATAAAAATGAATCCGTGGTCATCTTAAGCGTTTGAATGGGTACTCCGAGTAACGCTTGGAGCAAGATGAGTATGGTACAGGAATTTTCTGTGGGGACGCCAGGAACCAGTTCGGCAAAATGTTTATGCAAAGTCCATTTTTATGGCGATTTTCTTTTGACAAAATGTCAACGTGTTCGTTCCAACGAAGAGTGGTGGCGGGTAATTCTGGATTCCAAAGAGAAAACATAATCAACGTTTGAATTACCACTGTTCAAACCGGCTAATAGAAAACCTTCGAAGTAGAAGTAGTAGTAGTAGTAGTAGTAGTAGTAGTAGTAGTAGTAGTAGTAGTAGTAGTTGTTGTAGTAGTAGTAGCAGTAGTAGCAGTAGTAGCAGTAGTAGCAGTAGCAGCTGAAATGTTAGTATACACACACGACTGTAAACTGGAGAGACGAACACACACGACAGCAAGCATTCTAATAATGAGCCGGGTGTAGTGTCTGACTTTTTATGTTGATCCCCGAAGTGAGTAACATTAACCAAAAGCCCATGGCATACGGGGCGCTTACGTCCCGTGAGTAAAAAAGAGTAAGGTACAATACGGTGACTACCGTGACATCTCCCCTTTTAATATTGAAGAAAAAGGAAAACCCCAAAATGGATTAAAGATTATCGGCTTCGAGTCTCTCAAAGGGGAATGTTCTAACTTTAACAAAATTCACACACAGAGTTCAATTGTCTTTGAAGATTCCGGGCTTGCACTTGAGAACTTGGTAACACATTTCAATAAAGTTCTTTGGTATTTCATAATTTCCACATTTCAAATTGTCTTTGTCACATTCATAGAACAGCATAGCGTCCCGATAACGAACTTAAGAAAATAAATTACCTCGAACAGGTAAGTCTACACAACTGTTGGGTAATCAGCAAAGAATAAACACCAAGTAAAATTTGTCATCGAAAGGATACGACTGGGTCGCAAGAACATCAGTCCGGGTTACGAGCGGGTCTCCTGACCACTCGTCCACTTCGGGTAGTTATTGGAGCTGGACTGGCTGGAGCGGCAGCTGGCTGAGGAGATGGTGGTGTGACATCAGGCTCCACCGGCTGGGCAGCTGGTGGCGGAGGTAAGGGAACGGACATCGGAGTAGGCTCTGGGGTGGCAACAGGTGAAGAAGGCATGGAAGGAGGGTCGACGTAGGGCTTCAGGTGTTTGCGGTTCCGGCGGTAAGCTCTATCCCCAGACTGAATGATGTAAGACCTCGGTGCACACCGTTCTTTGACAACCGCAGGGCCACGCCACTCCTTGTCGTTCTCCAGCTTCTGCAGGACGAGCTGACCAGGATTCAGCTCCGGGAGGTTCTGGGCTCCGTGACGTCTGTCAAAAGCTTGTTTGTACTTATGCTTCGACTCGGCGTCTCTGGCTGCAATCTTCGCCCTGTCGTAGACCTGCTGGTTCAGGTTTGACGGTAGAATTGGCAGGGTCGTCCTCAGGCGTCGCCCAAGAGCAAGTTCCGCTGGGCTCGCCCCCGTCGGTGACACCGGTGTAGACCTGTAGATCAGGAGTGCGAGAAATGGGTCGTCCTGACTCAGGGCCTTCTTCGCTTCCTCGACTGCTCTCTCCGACCCGCCGTTGCTCTGGGGAAAATGAGGACTGCTGGTGGTGTGTTTAAATCCCCAGCCCTTGGCGAACTTGTGGAAACGGTCTGACACAAACTGGGGACCGTTGTCAGTGACCAGTAGTTCTGGAATGCCAAACCAGGCGAAGATGTTTTTCAGTTTATACACAACAGTCTCTGAGGTGGTGTCTGGCATGTAGGCCACCTCCAAGTACCGTGAAAAGTAGTCCACAAGTACCAGGTAGTCATGTCCCTTGTAGTTGCATAGGTCAGCACCAACCATCTGGAACGGACGCTCAGATAGAGCTGTCGGGGCTAGAGGTTCGCTTGGTTGTGCTGGACGTTTCCGCTGGCAATGGTCGCATCTTGAGACGACTTCCCGTATCTCGGAGCTGAGACCAGGCCACCAAATGGAAGATTTGGCCCGTTCTCGACACTTGGACACTACGAGGTGACCGTCGTGGATCCTGCTGAGCATCTCTCCTCGCATTGCCTTGGGGATTACGATGCTGTTACCTCTGACGAGTAGTCCATGGACTTCGCTCAGTTCACTGGAAACTGCCTAGAGGTCGCGAGCTTCGGACCTGACGTTTTGTATGAATTTCGGCCAACCGCTTCTGGTGTACTGTATCGCAGCACTGATCGCTGGATCCTGTTGAGACCTGTTTCTGATTTCGACAAGTTTGCTATCCGTGGCATCCCATGACATCTGGATTGTAGCGACATGAGCCTCGATTTCTTCACCAAATTCTTCAGGCTCGGTGCTCACTACTGGACTTCGGGACAAGGAGTCTGCGACAGTCATCTTTTTCCCTTGGGTGTATACTGCCTTTCCGCCGTAGCGCATCATCCTCATCAGCATTCGTTGGCAGCGGACAGGTGCATCATTCAGTTCTTTAGAGTTGATCAGAGGCACAATGGGCTTGTGGTCGGTGAGCAGTGTGGATGACGGCAGACCGATGAGGTAGCGATCGAACTTTTCGCACGCCCAGGTGGCCGCTAACAGTTCCTTTTCAATCTGAGCGTAGTTTTTCTCCGCCCTAGATAAAGTTCTGGAACAGTAGGCCACTGGCTGAAGATTACCCCTGTCTTCCTGGAGGAGAACTCCCCCCAGTCCGTAGCTGCTTGCATCGGCGCTTACAGTGACAGGCTTCCTCATATCGAAGAAGGCGAGTGTTGGAGCTGACGACAGCAACTTCTTGACATCAGTGAAGGCAGATGACTGCGCTGGAGTCCACGCCCACTCAGCATCGTGATTCAGAAGATCGGTGAGCGGCTTCATGACTGTTGACAGATTTGGCACAAACCTGCCCAAATAGTTCACCATGCCGAGCACTCGTCGCAAGTCTATAATGTTCTCTGGCTCTGGCATCCCAGTGATGGCGCTGACCTTGGATGGATCTGGCCTTACACCCTTCCCGCTGATGATATGGCCAAGAAAATCGATTTCATCCTTGTCAGACTTGCACTTGGATTTGTTCAACTTGACCCCACGCTCCTTTAGCCGTTGGAAGACTTTCTTCTCAAGCTTATCATGTTTCTCGTGACCATCCATGTGCAGGAGGATATCGTCCATAAAGCACTCTACACCGTCTATGCCCGCTAGAATGTCTTGCATCGTACGCTGAAATATCTCAGGCGCAGAGGTGATTCCAAAGCAGAGACGTCTGTAGAAGTACCGGCCGAACGGGGTAATGAAAGTGGTCAGCTTCGCGGAGTCGTCGTCCAGTGCCAACTGCCAAAAGGATGAAGTTGCATCAAGCTTGCTGGACTTGTTTGATCCGCTGAGTTTGTACAATATGTCGTCTATGGTGGGCAGCATGAATCGTTCACTCTTCACCGACAGGTTGAGCTTTTTCAGATCTGTGCAGATTCTAACGCTACCAGACCTTTTTCTGACCGGGACCATGGGCGCGCACCAGTCAGTAGGAGCGCTGATCTTCTCATTGACACATGCGGCTTCCATGCGGTCTAGTTCAGCTTTAACTTCGTCCATGAGTGGAATGGGAATCCGACGTGCGACGTTCACGGAGTATGGCTGTGCATCTTCTTTCAAGATGATTTTCACTGGCTCGCAGCGTATAGGTTGAGGTCCCACATCGCCGAATACGATGTTGGCAGAGTCTATTCTGTCTCGAGAAATCAGTCCCAGACGAACTGCGGCGTCGCGACTGAGAAGACAGTCAGTGTCGTCGTCAAGGACGAAAACACGGAACGCAAAGTTGCAATTGTTATGCTGCGTAGTTGCGATAAATTCTCCCACGCTCCTTATGACTCCACCAGGACTGCGAAGAACTGCAGACGGTGTTTTCAGCTTTGGACGAGGACTGGGACGGTTGTAGACGGCCTTCGACATTATCGAAACATAGGCCCCTGTGTCTATCTTGAAGGATGTAGCTCTCCCTCCAAGGTTCAGTGTAACTCGCCATGGTGGCTCACTAACTTCGCCGAAGTTTACATCGGTAACGACATTACTGTCAACAGCACCTAAAAAGAACGAAGGAGTTTCCGATTTGGTGATTTCGTTGACATTGCGGCTGCTGCTGCGACAGACTGTTGCGAAGTGATTGCGCTTGCCGCATTTCCTGCAAGTTTTCCCACGCGCTGGGCAATTGTTTTGGGCATGACCTCTTCCACAGTTGCCGCAGTTAGAGAAAGTTGACGGTGATGCATGGCTGCCTCTGTGTTGTGAGTGTGTACCTGTTCTTCGGCCGCCTCTACCCCTGGGGTGAGCAGGCGACGAATATCCCCTCTGGCCGTAGCGCACTGAATCTACTGTGACTGCTGCACCTAGCTGACGTTGGCTACTGACCTGACCCTTTACGAGCTCGACATGGCGGGCTGTTTCGATGGCTGATTTCAAAGTAAGAGTTGCCTCGAGTTGTAAGCGCTGTGACAGTTCATTGTCCAGTACTCCTAGGACGAGTCTATCCCTTATGGTTTCATCTCGGTCCTTAAAGTCTGCATGCTCTGAAAGCTCGTACAGGGCTCTAGCATATTCTTCTATCGTCTCCCCACTGTTTTGTGCTCGTGCATGAAACTTTGCTCTTACGTGGATAAGATTCCGCTTGGGGACAAAGTGAGCGTCGAAATCCTCTAAGACAGTGTCAAAGTTGTCCCTAGGATCGTTACCTTCGACGGGAGCAGGGAACGTGAACGTGTTAAATATATGTTCAGCTTGGCGTCCCATAGCGTAAATTAATGAACTTACTTGAATTGCTCCGGTCTCTGCGCTCAGTTTGGTGGCTGTGCGGTATCGTAGAATACGCTGTTGCCACTCGGGCCACTCGTGAGGTTTCGAAAAATCAAACGGCTCAGGAGGCTTGAAATGAGGCATTCTGACACTTGTGACACTTTATCCACTGACTTCTGACACCATGTAATGTTAGTATACACACACGACTGTAAACTGGAGAGACGAACACACACGACAGCAAGCATTCTAATAATGAGCCAGGGTGTAGTGTCTGACTTTTTATGTTGATCCCCGAAGTGAGTAACAATAACCAAAAGCCCATGGCATACGGGGCGCTTACGTCCCGTGAGTAAAAAAGAGGAAGATACAATACGGTGACTACTGTGACAGCAGCAGTAGCAGCAGCAGCAGCAGCAGCAGAGGCAACAGCAGCAACAGTAGTAGTAGTAGTAGTAGTAGTGTTAGTAGTAGTAGTAGCAGCAGCAGCAGCAGCAGCAGCAGCAGCAGCAGTAGTAGTAGTAGTAGTAGTAGTAGTAGTAGCAGCAGCAGCAGCAGCAGCAGCAGCAGCAGCAGCAGCAGCAGCAGCAGCAGCAGTAGTAGTAGTAGTAGTAGTAGTAGTAGTAGTAGTAGTAGTAGTAGTAGTAGTAGCAGTAGTAGTAGTAGCATCATTTTAATTACTATTTATTAATACTGCTGTTGTTATTATATCATTCTTGTCATGATTGTTGTAATTATTGTTTTTACAGTCATTATCATGAACACTATTTTTAAAGTTATATTTTTATCCGTATGGAAGTCAAGATACGGTATAGTGAGACAGGCTGTTTGAAACCTGTTTTTCAAAGATGTTGGCAATGCTGGAAAACTCCATTAACAAAATCTAAATGCTCAAGGAGAATCGAACTGATATACGCATCTGTTGTACCACTTACGCCGATCAGAAAGCGAAAAAGAGCAACAATAATCACGAGGGCTGATTGGGAAATGAAGTAAAGAGACTTTAACTTAAAAACTAAGCGATGCACATAGGTCAATGGATGGCAGGCATATTTGCTATTACCAACGTGCCGGCTACTCTTCTGAGCGTGAGCTAATTTGGCGGCTTGGAGTGGTACAATTTTCACCTTAAAAAAGAAAGAAGCTAGATCTAGCTGACAATTTCAAAGAACACATTGCTGTGTAAGGTGGAAATGTAATGAGCAGCAAGCAGGGATATCATATATGCAGTTTCTGTAATGTGGGACACGCGAAGCATTAGGGCGTTCGCAATTGAATTTTAAACCCACAAGCCTGCATCCAGGCTGTTAACGTGCATGTTCCTGAAGTGATGATGATTGCAATGGCTCTTGACGTCCAAAACCAGCCCTTCGTGAAATTTTATTTGAGCAGCTTGGTTTTTTAAAGTGCAATTGACTGACAAATACTTTGGGGGGGGGGGTGTTTGTTTTAGTAGAGGTTTTACGGAGCTCGCAACTGCTTAAGGTCTTATGAGCACCAAGGGGTGGATGTCAACAGAGAAGTCCTTACAGGGAATCACCTCTCTAGCTTTAACAGCACGAAGTCTGCTTCGACTATCAAGACACCCCGGAAAAAGCGGGTCACAAGAGTGTGACAAACGTACAGAAGAAGTAGAGGAAAATGACGTTAGTAAGGATTAGGAAAGAAAAAGCAGCAGTTCCCTGTTGTAGTTCAGGCACAGTTATGAGCATGACAGTTGGATCAGCCCATTTACAATTCTTCTGTGCATTAGAATGTGAAATGTCACCCCTTTGGGAATGGCCTAAAGACACTTCAGTCATTGGCACGCCCCGGGGGTACAAATACTTTGAAGTTTGACCAGCGGTATTATTCTCTTATAAGAGAGCGCTGCTCTTCATAATGCGAATCTGACTAAAGGACTGGGTTAATGGCCATAAATGGAATACAGATCTACTTCACTGCACAGAGTCCTAACCTTTTTCCATCATGTTTCCCAAAGGAGATGTTTAGCAAGAACTAGGTTCAAAGAAGATGGTGGTCGAATTGTATAGTTTCGAGATTGTCTGCAATCTGTTGACTGAAATTTGTTCAAAGAAGGTATGTTATATTGACTAAAGAGCCTTTGAAAAGAGCCTTCTTGGGAATTACTGTTTGTTGAGAACTAACTCAAAAGGATGCAAAATAATATATTCTTTAAGGTTCAGATCCATTTCATTGGTTTATTTAGAACCGTGTCCACCTTTCTTTTCGGATAATTCTTGTACGTCTCAAAACGAACAAAACAGAGCTAGCCACAAAACTTTGATTGTACTCACATAGATGAGTATGATAAAAGTCGACAAAGACACCTCAGAAGCTATATTTAATATACTCTATTTATGACCTTCACCTCTATGTTAAAATATATAGTTTATATGATTTTTAATCAAATTCACTTTTTTGTACCAAAATATCTTGCCGTGAGACAAAGGATTTTCAGCCATTGGTATAAGATACTTTTGTATTTCAAGAAAATGTGAGCTTCAAACTTGAAAGCCAAATCTTTATCAAAGTATACATTACAAATAAAATAATTGGAAAAAAACATGTTGGGGGGGGAGGGGTGTTCCTATTCCCAAAAGAATTCCGGATTGGGCACATGTGAAAGTTTTAACAATGGTAAATCTTAGGATCAAGCCCCAGACACTTAAGTGTTCGAACAGTCTGGGATGGATAGCACCAACGCCATCCTACTGTGTTCCCAGCTCGGGTGGGCTGGCTACGATCACCGGGTAGACGATGTTCGCCTACCAAAGAGATTACTCTATGTTGAGCTTGTTACAGGCAAACGATGTCTCGGGGGACAGAAAAAATAATTTTACAGAGAAACGCTGAAGGCATCCCTGAAACGTTTAAGTATTCCCCAATGCCCCCCCCCCCCCCCCCCCCAAAGGAAGGAGCTGCTGAACCCTGTCCTATCTAGGCTCTTTATTAAGATCTGAAGTTGCTGATTTTAAGAGAAATGCATAAGGTACAAAAAACAGAGACTTCAGCTGAGAAACAACTGAGAAGGCCTCACCTCCCAGCATAGTTCAGCCCCAGTTATACCTTGCCTCATTGCAACAGACACTTTCTGGAAAAGATTGAACAAATCAGCCATCTCTGCACCACCCCCCCCCCTCTCCCACACACACACATACTTTCGCCCTTTTCCACCCTAATATGTGAAGGCCATCTTTTCCTTCGATGGACAAATATCATCACCATATCGCACTACCTCTTAACCGGGAACTCTTGACGATCGCCTTCTAAGCAGTGAGGAACTTTGAAAAGTTGCATAAGACTATTGCAGTTTTGAAGCAAAATATACCCAGCAACAAAATAAGGTTTTGAAAAATAGAACAGGAGAACGAATTCAGGGGTGTAGTAAATATATTTTCAAATTGGTGTGATAACCACTCCCTTTTACTAGGTGTAAAAAAGTACAAAGGAAATAATTATGGACTTTAGAGACATAAAAAAACAGTTGCAACCATTATCCTTTAATGAGGAGGTAATATCGTTTGTAAACTCCTTCAAATCACTGACAACAATAATTAAGGATTGCTTTCTGACACTGCTGTGTTCATAAAACAATTAAATCATATAATGTTTTTTTAGATAGAAATGTAGACGTTTTGATACTAATAATATGCTTTGTATTAACCATTCCATAATTAAAAGTGCGTTTCAGTTTTCTATTATCTGCGGGCCAGAAATCACTGTAGGGTGCAAGATAAACAACAATTTGATATGTTTTAAATAAAGAAAGCCAATAAGACCCCTGGATATTATTTAAGCAACTGATAAATCACATTAAATCACAAGTATAAAAAATAGCAGAATTTTAAACGACTGACCACGCCTCCTTTTCACACAAATCTTAAGATCTCGTAGCGGCATATACATACAACCACGAACTGAGAAAGAATACTATAAATAAAACTCCTTATTGTCAGCGATAAGGCAGCTGTTGAAGTTAACATGTCCAACGCTCTCACTTTTAAAAAGATCTATGCATATGGTGTATTTTACGAATGTATTATACTTACATCGTACAGATATATCTATATTGCTTTCAAAATATGTGATAAATTTCTACACGTTACATTATTGTGTTAAATTTATTTTTTCACTTCGTCTTGAAATTCTGTTATGGAATATACAATTTAAATTCTGTGTATATTTTTAAGTGTCTTTATCATTCCTATTCAGCCATAGAAAATTTCCCACAGGGACAATAAAGTATATCTTTACCTATCTTTTCTTTATGCGCACAATTTGCTATCAGCCATTAATATGTGTCTCTTGATACGTGTTTGTTAAATTCATATTACTGTCATTTTGATGTAGATCTGCTGAATTTTTTCGCTCTCCAAGTGGCAGGTTTCCGACGACCATCCATTTCTTATCTAATGACAGAAACCCATGACAATATTATGTCTTCAACGCGGATGACATTTACTGACAAATTTTAAGGATATAGAAACTCATAATGCTGCCCCACACTTTCGTCTTGTTTTTTAAATTTTGTTTTTGTCGAACCGAGTTAAAAAATACGTAAGATATATATACAAATGTTCAATGCTCCTTGGATTTGTATTGCTTTTTAGATTTTTAGCTATTTTTAACCTAAACAGCACGTACAATCCATCTTTGATTTTCTGTATATCACAGTGTATCAGAGTCAAGGAAATAAAGAAAAGTGGGCCACGTGTTTTATTTTCATTCTAAAAAAGAATATGATATGTTCTTGTTAGCTTGTTTTTGGTTAGTTAGGCCTTATCCCTTTAACAATGCTTCGACAGCTTAATTCAAGATACCCGTTTCATTATCTACATCGACCTTGAAAGTTACTTTGAGCTTAGAAGATGTATGTGGTATCAAGCTGTCTCATGTGTATTCTTTGTTCAGTACAACTACAACAACTACTGATACAGATAGTATACAATCTGCATATAAGCTTTCAGAGTAAAAGACAAAAAATCATTTTTTTAAAGAATCAGATTTTTTCTCGCAAATGTGAAAACACGATTTTGCGGCTCATGCTTCTCCTGAAAAGGATTGTGGATTTGTCCTGCTAGACCAGTGATATGAGTCCTGGGGATACACTCGTTCCATTTGTTTTTAAGAGTTCTGAAAAG